AGAAGGCAATATCAACGGGTGCTTTAAGTTGTCACCAATGTTAGCTCTGTCAAGCCGGCCACCAACTCTCAAAATATCATCTTTATCAAGAAACGGATTCAATGTGGTAAGTTTACTCTTCTTATTTACTGTTCCCTTCAACTTTAAATCGCTTATTTCTTGTGAAAAATATTTCCATTGACATTGTTTAATACAGGTAAGTAAAGCTTCATTTAATTCTCGACTAGTTAACCAAGTAGGATATTCATTTGTTAATTTTCTTAACTTTTTGATAAATCTGTTACAATAAGCTAGGACTCGTAAAAGTTTCGTTATTGATGAATATTTGGTCCACAATTTCAATTCTATCTCTTCTACTATATGGTAACTTTTCTTGCTTTTTTCTTCCAAATTAGTGTCTGGTATGGGTTTCCTTTCGTAATTGATAACTTTATTTTGTAGCCAGGGGGAACCAGTTCTCCACATTTCCATGTTTACTAAAGCTGATGGTGTCACTCCCCGAGAGGCACAATCTGCTGGATTGTCGGTAGATGAAACATGTGACCACTGAGTTGCGTCTAAAATGTCTAAAATCTCCGAAACACGATTAGCAATGAAAGTTTTCCATCGACTGGGATGGCTACTTAACCAAGCTAGCACAACCGTGGAATCAGTCCAAGCGTGAAGTTTATCCTTTGGTACGTGCAGAACTTCTGCAACTTCTTGTAACAACTTGACCAGTAAAACAGCTCCACACAGTTCGAGCCTTGGAATACAAACTTGTTTGATTGGTGCTACCTTTGTTTTAGACGTTATCAGATTTCCAGAGCCATCAACTACCCGAGCATAAATTACAGCTGCATAAGCTTCATTTAAAGCGTCGCTAAACCCATGGAGCTCCAGTGTGACATCTGCTTTAGTACTTATCCAGCGTGGGAGTCGAAATTTAGTAAGTTCCAGGAGTTCCTCACGGTTAGTAATCCAATAATCAAGTAAATTATTTGGTAATTCTTGATCCCATCCGATGCCTGAAAGCCACAATTTTTGTATTAATATTTTTGCTTTCACAATTGCTGGAGCTATCCATCCCATTGGATCGTATAGCCTTGCAATATCCGATATAACCTTTCTTTTTGTTACAGGTATGCTGATCGGAGGTAGTTGCACGGAGTATTCGAAGTCGTCGTTTCGTCGGTTCCAGGTAAGTCCTAAAATTTTAACTATTTCATTTGATTTCAGTTCTACATTAATATCTAAGTCTAAATCTTCTTTATTTATTTCCTTTAGCAGATTTTCATCATTGCTTGACCACTTTTGGAGTTCGAAGCCGCCTGTCTTTAGTAGGTTGGTAATATCGTTAAATAATTGCTTTCCTTCTGAAACTGATTCACATCCAGTAAGCAAATCATCCATGTAAAAATCCTTTAAGATTTTTTCAGATGCGACGGGGTACTCTCCTCCTTCATCGTGTGCTACCTGCTGCAAAGTTCGAACTGCAAGGTAAGGAGCAGACGCAGTACACGTAAAAAAGTGACACGTAAAAGGCGAAGATGCTGTAAATCTTCTGTAGTGTTTGTGCGCCACACTAAACGTTGATAGTCTACATCTTCTCTTGTTACCCTCACTTGACGGTACATTTTGATTATGTCGGCAACCAGACAAATAGGATGTAGCCTCCATCTTAAAACAATGTGACGTAAGTCAGGCTGTAGCGACGGTCCGACCATCAAATCACTATTCAGTGATACACCGTTTTGGTCTCGACAGGATGCATCGAAAACAACTCTGAGTTTAGTCGTCGATTTATCAGCTCTAACGACCGCGTGATGAGGTAAGTAAACCGTTTCTTTTTTGTCAATTTCTTCTATAGGTACTAACTCCATATGTCCCAACTTCAAATACTCTGATATTACATCTGTATATGATTTCTTTAAATCTGGTGATTTCAATAAACGCTTTTCTAACATTAAGAATCGTTTAATTGCTATCTCACGTGAATTACCATATTTGCATCTCGGATCGACATCTCTGAATGGGAGTTTAACGATATAACTTCCCGATGGATCTCGCTTCGTGGTTTCTTTATAGATGTCTTCACATCTTTGTTCTTCATGAGTGAGGTGAGTTCTTTTAAGGTTAAAGTTATCAGACTCAAGTTCCCAAAATTGTTTAAGGTTAAAATCATCATTGTTAATTTGAGTGTGCATTGTTAATATGTTTTCGCAACCCAAACCATGTTGGTCGTGATGATCGTTCTCGATTTTTCCAGATAAGATCCAACCTAGCCTAGTGTTCTGAGCTATTGGTGTTCCTGGTGGTCCTCTCATTAGACCCTCAGCTATGATTTGACAATAGACATCAGCACCAAGCAACATATCAATATTACTTGGTTTGTTGAAATTTGGATCTGCTAACTTCATCCTTGGTAGATTTGGCCACAGATGGACAACGAATTCCTTTACAGGGAGGAATGAAGTTAGTTTTTTAAGAACATGAGCTGTTACACAAATAGTAAATGATTCATCTTGAATTGATTGCAGATTAATCTGAACTACATACTTGGAATCAAGTGGGGCATTGCCGTCACCTCCAACTCCAGATATGACACTGTTGCTTTTGATTTTCTTTAGCCCCAGCAACTGGACTGCAGACTCCGTAATAAATGAAGCCTGTGAGCCCTGATCTAATAAGGCTCGCAGTGTCATACTTGATCCAGAATTATTGTTGGCCCTTACGAGGGCTGTTGCCAATAGAACTTGTTTTCTGGTATTAGTAAAACAAGTGGTAATATTTTCAATGTTGGTCTCGTCTGGTCTCGATGTTGTTGCCGTTGCAACAACATTGATATCTTCTGGTGATTGGTTGTTAGCTGATACATTATCTGTTGATACACTAGCGTTGTAATGCAAAAGTGAATGGTGTTTTCGTTTGCAAATCTTACACCTGGTGGGCAAACGACACGCCTCAACCGAATGATTAGCACCTAAACAGTTGAAGCATAAGGCGGAACTTTGAACAAACTCACGACGTGTTTTAAGGTTACCCTTAGCAAATTTCTTACAATTTCCTAATTTATGCGTACTATCTGAACAAAAGACACAATTTGATTTTTCCTTAAAAGTTACATGATGAGATTGAGTGCTTTTGACTGGTTTGTTTATTAAAAATTCAAGTGACCTAAACCTTTGCTCTAAAAATTCAAAAAACTGATTTAATGTTGGCAATTCATCTGTTAAATTACAAATTTTAGTTTCCCATAACTCTCTAGACTTAGTATCTAATTTTGAACTTAAAATATATAAAACAATAACATCCCAATTGTCAGTTACTATTCCTATATTTTTCAATGCATTTAAACATTCATTTGTGGTGTCTAGTAATTCCTTAACAGCATTAGAAGATTCGGAAACAATATTCTTTTGAGAAAAAAATCTTTTTAAAATACTATTTGTAATAAATTTCTTATTATTAAAACGTTGTTCTAACATACTCCAACATAGTTCATAATTTTCACTTGTAACCGGCAGATGTCGTAGTAACTGCTCGGCTTCACCAGTCAGGTAACTTTTTAGGTAATGCAACTTTTGCACTGCTTGCAACGATTTGTTGCTGTGTATCAATGACTTAAACAGGTCACGAAACGTGGTCCATTGTGAATAGTGGCCAGAAAAAGTAGGTATTGTTATTCTAGGTAATTTTACTTCACTGTTAATGTTGCTTACTACATCACTCGTAACTATAGGGCTGTTTTTAAATTTAGTAAGTTTTTCCTTTAAATCAATTTTGTATTCACTATATAAATCTTCCGTCTCTCCATATACATCTTTCAAGTTATACTCCGATTCATCATAATCTTCCTCACCATAGTTACATATTAATTTAATGTGTGTATCTTCAAATGTTGACCATTGTTTTTCTAATTGTTCCAATCTGGTTTCCAAATAACTTCCTGTAATTCTATCTTTTGGTGTTTTCTTAAAATTTGTATAAGCCCTTTTTAATGTTTTGTTGATATCTTTCTGTACTCTAATAAGTGATTCCATTTTGATCGCTAAGTGTTTCTAAGTTACACTTGTAAAATTTCCAAGTTCTATATCGCAAATTTTTCTAAGTGTTTGGTGTACCTAATAATTTCGACTTAGGCAAAATCAGGCATGGATTCCCCGTCTCAACCACCTTTGCCTTAATTATTTTACAAGTCCATGCCTTATGTTAATTTTTCTATGTGTTTGGTGTAATAACTTCGACTTAGGCAAAATTGGACATGGATTCCCCGTCTTAATCACTTTTGCCTTAATTTTTCTAAGTTATTTTACCAGACTTATTAGAGTTCGAATTTGTTAGGCAAAGTTTTAAAATTTAAAGTACTTACAGTTTTAGTCACCTTTACACTTACACACACCACAATCACTTATTTTACACTTTTTATACACTAACACTTTACACTAACACTAGGGTTTCCAATCACTGCTGTATCCGGCTACGAATGACCATGAACAAAACTCCACGATTCCAGGACGAAGACAATTTATTCAAAAAATATCTTAAACCTTATACTAAAAACCACATACAACGATAGCGCGATTCAGCATAATGCAGAAATCGCACAGCGCCATCCGTTGGTGAATTTCAGAACTAAATACAATATTTATGTACATATTATTACGTTTGGACAATAGTTTTGAATTGAAATTCTAGTAATCTGTTAATTTAGTTACCAATGGACACATGGAATTATTTGATAATATTTACCTTAAAGTTTCAAATAAGTTACCCTACTCTAGAACGTCAAAAACAGCTTAAATCTTGTTAAAAGAGCTGTCAATTTTTTTTTCTGTATGAAGTTTGACATATTTAACAGTGCTCGAATACGAATTGGAATATAAGATTAAACATATTGGTTATTTGATTATAGAGAAATACTTATAGTTGTTCACTCTTTATCCATATACTAGACATAGATTAAAGAGTTTAGTTTAGTACATATGTTAATAAAAATTAAGAAAAAATGCTAAGTTTGCTTACAATCTCTGTCCACTAGCTTCTGCCTCCACCAGTCTTGCCTCGTATTCCCTTACTTGAGTGGCATTAGTGGCCGCCGCGACTGGAACCGGCAAAGGCAAATAATGTTCCGGTCTTTGAACGCACTTCACGTTGAGGGACTCCGTACATTGTATACGTTCCTCGACGACTAACTTGAGACAGTCAGAGGGGTTTGGCAAACCAAACACAGGTGCACAAATGCCTACTGTTGCGCTGTAAATAGTTATTTTAATACCGAAAAATTCAGTAGAAACGTTTATATACATATAATATTAGTAAAATTATCAAAATCAATAAAATATATAAGCCGTGTGTCATTTTCACATTCCCCTGTTTTAGTTTATACTATATGTTATACAATAGGTCGCCATTGCTTGTATGCCAATTTTGATAATAACAGAATATGAATTAAAATAGTTATGACAAAAACTAACATGATTATATTATTTTGAAATGGCTGCCCTGTAAAGTTTACTATTGGTCAGACCCGTCACTATTCTACGACTATGACGAGGTGACATATAATAATCAAAGGTTATGTCTACATTATTTCAATTTAACTAAGTAAGGTTCAATTTGCTAAGCAGTTTAAAATTTAGTTATAATTATTAAAGATTTCGCCGTTCGACTTGTAGCTAGATCAATAAATTAAAAATAATCTATGGCGTGGTAGTCTGTGATTGCAACTCTCGAAACGTCAAGTTATATAAATGATGTTGACGTATCCGCAACAAATTTTTAAAAAATCGATTTCTAATGTCAATTCACCATGTTTAAATAATTATAGTTCTATGTTCAACCAATAGATGTCGCCTGTGGTTCCTTGAATCGCGGTATGTTTAAATTATTATAGTTTTATGTTCAACCAATAGATGTCGCCTGTGGTTCCTTGAATCGCGGTATCGTTTTGATTCAAAAATAGTATAAGTATCTCAATTGTTTTTTGTATTAAATATTCTCAGCCTTAGGAATGGTGTTTTATTTGATCATGGTCATTCGAGTCGGATAATGAAGAATTAAGCGACAGTGGTGCCATCTGGTGGAGAAACGGAGTAGAGCAGTTCCAGCTAAAAGTCAGTGAGCAAAATTGGTATAGTCAAAAACTGTAAGTAGAAAATCTATATTAAGCAGTAGAAGAGGTAACAAGCAAAAATAACCCTTAACCACTAGGAAGAAATGTCTTAGAAAATTAACAGTGTGAATGGACTTGTAAAATTTTAACCGAAATAGTGGTTATACGGGGAATCCATGACCAATTTTTCCTAAGTTAATAATAACTAAACACTTATAAAAATTTCGAGTAAACTGGACTTAGAAAAATTTCACCTATACCGGACTTAGAAAAATTTGCTCACTGATTAAAAAATAAAAAAATTCCGATATTTATAATGGATTCGTTGATAAGACTACTAGAAGATATACAAAAGAAAATTCAGCGAGCCTTTACCAACTTTAAAAAATCTCCGAAGGACAGAATAACTGTGTCTTATATTGAAACACGAACTGAGACTTTGGAGAAGTATTGGGAATCATTCGACACAACGCATCAGAAACTAATATGCGAATCAGAAAAGGATGATTTAGAAATGTCGGGATATTTTATAAAGGATATTTATGGTTTAGTTGAGGAATTGTATACTGATTATAAGTCTGAATTAAAGGAGTGTTTAAAAATATGTGTTCAAGCACAGAAGAAAACTTCTTCAGCTTCAGAAACGAGTCATGATGCAGAGCAGAGTGGGGTCAAATTACCTAGAATTGCTATCCCAATGTTTTCGGGAAAATATGCAGAGTGGGCAACGTTTCGGGATCTTTATGTATCTCTCATTCATAATAATCAAGCTCTACAGGATGTCCAAAAACTCCATTATTTAAAAAGTTATTTATCGGGAGAAGCTGAGCAGCTTTTGCGTCATCTACCAATATCTAGTGATAACTATGCTGTGTGTTGGGAACTGTTAGAGCATCGGTTTAATAATAAGAGATATGCAACTAATTGTATTTTAAAGAAGTTTTTTAGTCAGAAAAATATTGTACATGAAATGTCAAGTGCTTTAAAAAATCTTTTTGATACAACAAACGAGTGTCTTCATGCTTTAAAAAATGTGGGAGTAAATACCGAGAATTGGGATTCTATAGTCATTTATATCTTTGTATTAAAGTTAGATACCGAGTCTCGTAAAAAGTGGGAGGCTAGGATTTGTGATTTGACCAGTGAATTGCCAACATTAAGCCAATTTTTAGAGTTTTTGGAGCATAGGTTTAGGGCGTTGGAATTCTTAGATTCTAAAAATATAAAAATTACTCAAGCACATGTTATAAGTAATAATAGAGATAAAAATGTTGTTTCATGTTCTTTTTGTTTCGAAAATAGTCATAAATTGGGAAATTGTAAGAAATTTGCAAAAGAAGATATATCTGCCCGTCTTAAATTTGTCCAAACCTCAAATTTATGTTATAATTGTCTAGGTTCAAATCATACGGTTTTATCTTGTCGTTTGCCCACTAGGTGTCGCATCTGTCAAAGGAAACACCATTCATTATTACATTCAAGCAATCCTGATGTAACATTACAATCAGGAGATACTAGTGTTGTGGCAGCAACAGCTACAACAACAGGCGAGATCGTAGAAACTAAAATTACCACTTGTTTCTCTAGCAATAAGAATCAAGTTTTATTGGCAACAGCTTTAGTGAAAGTTGAAACAAATCTCGGATCTCAAATGACACTAAGATCTTTATTGGATCAAGGATCACAGGCATCCTTTATCACGGAGTCTGCAGTCCAACTTCTTGGACTGAAGAAAATACATACCAATAGTGTCATTACGGGGGTAGGAGGTGATGAGAACACATCACTGAATTCCAAATATGCAGTTTTTAATAAACTACAATCAATTCAAGATCCTACTTTTACCATCAATGTCAAGACTTATGTACTCAAGAAACTAACGCCATTCCTTCCTGAAAGAAAGTTTATGAACAAGTTGTGGTCAACTCTACCAAGAATGACGCTAGCAGACCCAAATTTTAACGTACCTAACCAAATAGACCTCTTACTGGGAGCGGAGGTATATTGTCATATTTTAACTGAAGGCTTAATGAAGTGTCCGCAAGGATCTCTCATTGCCCAAAACACGAGGTTTGGCTGGATAGTTTCTGGTGAAATTAACAATACCAATGACGAATCTTCGAGATGTCATAATATAACCTCCCATCATGCTGGTGTAAAATACGAAGAGTTTGATTTGAAACAATTCTGGGAAATCGAATCTGACAAATTTTGTCTTAACAAGCAATTTACACCTGAAGAACAACGTTGCGAAGATTTGTTTAAACAAACAACATCAAGAGACTTGTCTGGTCGTTATGTCGTTAAACTTCCATTTAAAAGTGTCGATCCAGTATGCAGTACGGAAATTCACGACAAATAGCGATCAGAAGATTTTTATCACTCGAAAAACGCTTATTAAAAACTCCAGATATAAAAGTTCAGTACGGTAATGTTATCAAAGAGTATTTAGACCTTGGATTTATGGAGGTGGTACCAACAGAAGAGGTCAATAAATCAGAAAGTGTTTACTTACCTCACCATGCAGTTATCAGAGCGGACAAACCGTCAACCAAATTACGAATAGTTTTCGATGCTTCGTGTCCTGACCACAATGGCGTATCTTTAAACAGTGAATTGATGGTGGGCCCCACTTTACAGGCTGAGCTACGCCACACAATTATGAGATGGAGACTCCATCCTATATGTCTCGCTGCTGATATCATTAAGATGTATCATCAAATAAAAGTGGATAAGAGTGATATCGACTATCAACGGTTAGTGTGGCGGAACAACCCTCAAGAAGACATTCAACATTTACGTTTGTTGAGGGTAACATTTGGTACGGCGTCAGCACCTTTTCTAGCGGTAAGAGCTCTGCGCCAGTCAGCGTATGATGAAGGGGAAAAATCAGTAGCTTACCACTGTATCTTGAACGATTTTTTCATGGATGATTTATTAACGGGCTGCCAAACGATTTCCGAAGGGAAAGAATTGTTTTTCGAAATCAATAAAGTTTTAAATAAAGCTGGATTTAAACTTCAACGATGGTCAAGCAATAGTGTAGAAGTATTAAATAAAATAAACCAGAATAATGAAGCTATAAAAGAAAATATGGAATTAAAAATGGATGAAGTGATAAAAATTCTCGGACTTAACTGGAATCGACGTACTGATAGTTTCGACTATTCTGTGCAGCTTCTACCGGTCAGTTACCCAGTAACAAAGAGAAAGGTGATTAGTGACATTGCCAAGTTGTTTGATCCAATGGGATGGATAGCTCCAATCATAGTCAAAGCAAAAATATTTATCCAACGACTATGGCTTGCAGGAATCGGTTGGGATGAAGAGCTACCGCAAAAACTATTAAATGAATGGATGACTTACCGTGAAGAACTTATAACACTTACCAAGTTTCATTTACCAAGATGGATTGGAATAACTCAAAAACACCGCCACATGGAGCTTCATGGTTTCAGTGATGCTTCCAATGATGCTTACGCTGCTGTAGTTTACTCACGAGTGATTGACGGATCAGGAAAGGTACATGTGCATTTGATAACTTGTAAAACGAAGGTAGCTCCTATTAAACAAATTTCTATTCCACGACTGGAGCTCTGTGGTGCCGTTTTATTAGTAAAACTATTAAGAGAGGTTGCTGAAGTACTACACGTGCAAAATGGAAATTTGCGCGCTTGGACCGACTCGACCATTGTTTTAGCTTGGTTAAGTAGTCACCCAAGCCGTTGGAAGACCTTTGTTGCAAACAGAGTCTCAGAGATTTTGAGTATTTTAAATAGAGATCAATGGGCACATGTAATATCCACTGAAAATCCAGCAGACTGCGCTTCGCGAGGCATCCGTCCATCAGAATGTGAAGCGGCTAATTTATGGAAAAATGGTCCAACGTGGCTGAGCGAACTAACTATAAACTATCCCCGGAGGAACGTTGATGAAACAAATTTAGAAGAAAAGGGTGTGAAGGCATGCCATGTGGTGGATAGTAGTCAAAACATTTTTTTGGACAAATTTTTCGACTTTAAGGAAATCATTGAGAGTATTTGCTTACTGTAGAAGGTTTATAAACAAATTAAAGCGACCTGAAGAGAGTTTTCCTATATGGTTAACTAATAAAGAACTAAATCAAGCATTACATATTATTATAAGAGCATGTCAGAATGAGTATTTTTTTCTGGAAATCAATGATTTAAGAAATAATAAACCAATTTATAAGAAAAGTAAACTTACCGTATTGACTCCTTTTCTAGATCGTGAAAGTATCATGCGAGTTGGTGGTCGTCTTGAAAGAGCTGACTTCAACATAGACAGAAAACATCCAGTGATTTTGCCATCAAAATCACATCTTACCGACTTGATCATAGCGGAAGCTCATGAAAAAACTTTGCATGGCGGGCCGCAATTAATGATAAACTATATTCGGTCCAAATACTGGATTTTAGATATTAAAACTCATACAAAGTTATTCGTTCGAAATTGTGTTCGATGTGTACGATACGCTGCACAAGCAAGAGACCAACTTATGGGACAGTTACCTCCTTCACGTGTAACTCCAATTCGTCCTTTTCATCGAAGCGGCCTGGATTATGCGGGTCCTATTTTAATAAGAACATCCAAAGGTAGAGGCCATCGAGCATACAAAGGATATGTATGTTTGTTTGTGTGTATGGCAACTAGAGCAGTACATTTGGAGGTTGCAAGCGACCTTACAGCGCAAGGTTTTTTGGCCGCATTCAAGCGTTTCGTGGCCAGACGTGGGCATTGCGCTGACCTATACAGTGATAATGGTACAAATTTTGTAGGTGCCGCACGCGAACTCAAAACATTGTGGTCCCAAGAAAAGTCATCATTGGCAATAGAAATTGCTGAGAGTTTGGCAACAAATGGAACAACATGGCATTTTATTCCACCTCATGCTCCACATTTCGGTGGATTATGGGAGGCTGGAATAAAATCCACCAAACACCACCTAAAACGAGTGATAGGTACTCAGACGTTGTCTTTTGAAGAGATGAGCACTCTTCTGTACCAAATAGAAGCCTGTCTCAATTCCAGACCATTGTCACAAATAAGTGTGAACTCACAAGATCCTACACCTCTTACCCCAGGACATTTTCTTGTCGGAGAGCCATTGGTCTTGGTGCCGGACAGCAATTATGAAACCTCATCGGTTTCTTCACTAAAGCGCTGGCAGCTAACGCAACAGTTGCTGCAGCATTTTTGGCGTAGGTGGTCAAATGAATATCTCACGCAGTTCATGCAACGTTACAAATGGGCACATCAAAAACCAGAACCGAATGTTGGTGATATTGTTCTAGTTCGAGAGGATAATCTTCCTCCAGCAAAATGGTTATTAGGGATTATAACGGATAAACATACAGGTTCGGACAATATTACGAGGGTTGTTAGCCTTAAATGTAAGGATGTTATCTTTAAGCGTCCTATAACCAAATTATGTGTATTGCCTGTGACGAAGTAAGATATTTGGGTAAATCTGATGTTGTTTATTTTTATTTTTTTTGTTGTTGTATAATATAATAGGTATGTTGTCACTTCTAGCTACTGTGAAAGGCTTGTACGAACTTTTTAAACTCTATTACAGTCCACTACGATTACTTGTTTACAGTTTATTCACGGTGGGCGGAAGTGATGTACATGCTGTCCATGGTGGGCGGTATGTTTAAATAATTATAGTTCTATGTTCAACCAATAGATGTCGCCTGTGGTTCCTTGAATCGCGGTATGTTTAAATTATTATAGTTTTATGTTCAACCAATAGATGTCGCCTGTGGTTCCTTGAATCGCGGTATCGTTTTGATTCAAAAATAGTATAAGTATCTCAATTGTTTTTTGTATTAAATATTCTCAGCCTTAGGAATGGTGTTTTATTTGATCACACCACATCACAGTAATTTAAATACTTTTATTCAAAGATTGTATTTCTACAATTTATTCAAGGAAAAAGTAAATATTAACTTAATTATAAATATAATAAAACCAAATCAGTTAAATCAAAGCACTGATTATTTTTCTTTTCATTACGTAAACTGAAGACTTGAAGGAAAGAGAGAAAGAGAGAAAAAAAAAATTAAGATTATAACTAGTCGAGAATGTGAATTTAGGTAAACTTTTAATAAATTGTTCTGTAACTTTGAAATAATTGCATGTGGTATTACCTCCAATAGAGTAAGGAAATGTAGGTAGAACTCATGCGCATCTTGTTGCCTCTTGGTCATAAACTCGGGGTGACCTTTGCCAATAAGCTGTCTGAACATATGGAGTGATATTCCTGGCTGGAACCTGCTATCGTCCCTGGGAAAGGAATACCGCCCTGATATCAGGCCTACGCCAACTTTTGCCCTAGAAATTACGAAACATCAAAATTATACTTCAAAGTGATATTGTTGGAATTGAAAAATATTTATTTATTTATTTATTTATTTATTGGAAACTAAACAGATACATCACTACAGAAAAATAAAATAAATGTAGAACATAAAATAAATACACATTGGACATATCCTCAAAAAAAAAGTTTCACTAATAAAAAATACAATACTAAGTAAGACAAGACAAAACATGACAGCAAAATTTAACACCAAACTAGACACAAAGCTTAAGATATTAAGAGTTTTAACTTATTCCTAAATGAAGCAGTAGAGGAGTGCGAAAAAGGGTCGATGTTAGTGGTGGAATCCAAGGTGGAACACATCCTGTGAAGAGGCTCACGGAACCCAATGTTGGTTCTGGGAGTCGGAAGGTTAAAAGTTCTGTGCGAGCGCAGAGATCTGGCAGGAACATTAAATGGTATCAGTTCGAGAAGATGGGAACAAGTTATTTCATTTACACATATTTTTCTAATAGTGACACAGTCTGTCAAATTACGCCTAGTACTCAAAGAAAGTAATTTATATTTTTTTAAAAGTTCCTTATAACTAGCCCTACCACCATTCATACGATAATTTAGAATACGTAAGAATTTCTTTTGTACAGCCTCCAGTTGTGCGACATATTATATAGCGTAATGGGGATTCCAGATTGGACAGGCGTACTCCAACTGGGACTGCACAAGCGCCTTATAGAGGTGAATGTACGTGGTTTTTTCTTTAAAATGTCTGGTGACACGCGTTATGAAGCCTAACATACGGTAGGCTTTATTAATAATTGAGCCTATGTGCTTATCTAGGATTAATTTGGAGTCAAGAAGGACACCAAGATCCCTTACAGAGCACACACGTTCAAAGGCATGGTTTCCAAGGGTGAAGTTGGCCGTGATTGCGTTATGTGTTTTCCTTGTAAACACGATATGCTGACACTTACTATATTTTAAGAATAATTTGTTTATCTTGCAGTAGTCATCTAGCCTATCGAGATCTTCCTGAATAAGTTCCACGTCGGAAAGTGTAACTACCTTTCTATATAACTTTAAATCGTCTGCATACAGCAAGTAATTGCAGTGTAAAAAACATTTAGATATGTCATTAATAAATAAGGAAAACAACAACGGCCCAAGGATTGAGCCCTGGGGGACGCCGGATGTCACTACTGTTTGGGAAGAGGTAAACCCATTTATTACCACCGATTGAACACGATTATGTAGATATGCTGCAAACCATCTTAAAAGATTGCCCTTAATACCATTAAAAGATAGCTTTTGTAAAAGCATCATATGGTCAACCTTATCAAAAGCCTTCTGAAAGTCTGTGTAGATTGTGTCTATCTGATGTTTATTATCCAAACCGCTAAAAATGTAATTACTAAAAACAAGGAGGTTAGAGAGAGTAGATTTACCAGCTGCGAATCCATGCTGTTGGTCTATAATAACATGCCTTAGGCTGGAATAAATGCGTCGGTGAACTAATCTTTCCAGGACCTTAGGGATTGCAGAAAGTATTGAAATCGGTCGGTAATTTTCGACATCACTCCTTTCACCAGCCTTGAAGATAGGCGTTATATAAGATAATTTCCAGCAGTCAGGAAAAGTGCCACTGGACATACACTTATTGAATATAATATGTAAGGGGACACATATTGACCGACATGTTTTCTTGAGAAAAACTGGTCTGATTTGATCTGGGCCAGGACCTTTATTTGGGTCAAGCAAATATAGCTCCTTGCTGACTTCATCTTCATCGAAGTACAAACTATGCACAAGGACCCGAGAGTCATTGGGAAGGCTCTCTTCATCGGTGTACACAGTGTCTCCAGATGAGCCAGTTTGAGACTCAAACACTGACCGAAAATAACTCGAAAACAACTCTACCATTTGTTTAGGGTCGTCAGATGAAACACTGCCATATTTAATTCGTTTAGGATATCCTAAATTAGTTTGTTTTAGAGTAGACGTGTATTTCCAAAAGTGTTTGATATTTGTTTTTAGCGAAAGTTCAATCCCTTCTATATAACGATTATAACAAAGTTTCATAAGACTTTTAACACGTGCCCTTAATAAAGAAAATTCTTGATGGTCGAGCAAGTTTTTGTAGGTCTTCCAGCGACACCAGAGTTTCTTCTTACGATTAAGAGCTCTTATCAGTCCTCTGCTAAACCAAACTGGATACTTACGGGATTTAGGTTTAGAGAATGGCACGCAAACAGAAATAATTTCATTTATTTTTGAGTAGAAGATGGCAACAGCATCTTCAGAATGGGACGAGGCCAGCAGTGACACCCAATCTACCTTATAGATAGCATTATTTATTAAGTCATAATCTGCATTAAAGAAATTTCTTTGATGGAAAACAGCTAATGTCATGACAATTGACCTGTTAACAGTACTAAGAATATCTAAAGGCGGGTGATGAGGAACAGGATTAAGCAACGGGTCATCGGAATAATCAACACGCCCGGGAAGCGTCGATAGGACTAGGTCTAGGAGCCGCGCATTGCTATTGAGGACAACATTAGTTTGCTTTAAATTCATGAAAGACATGGTATGCAACAATAATTTAGATGACTCAGTATTTGCAGATTGTAGTAGGGTATCTGGAGACCAGTTGAGATGAGGTAAATTAAAGTCACCTATAATTATGTAATTAGAGAATCTAGCGCTAGCATGTATGTCATGCAGTTTTTGAAAGAATTTTATGTATGTAGAGGTATGAGTAACGGGAGGAAAGTAACAGGCATTGAGGAGGAGACCAGCATGAGATGGCAAGTGAATGTATATTTCCTCCAAATCCGGGGCTTCAAACTCAGTCAATCTGATAGATTTAATTCCTCTTTTCACCATGACTAAGACCCCACCGCCTCCTTTTTTACGAGAGAACTGGAGGTTTCTGTCCCGTCGAAATAAATCATAACCGCCAGAGTGCAACTCTCCATCAAAGATAGAATCCACTAACCACGTCTCTACCAGAACAATAATATCATAGTTGCTAAGAAGTATACTATTTTTGAGCTTATCTATTTTACTCTTTATGCCTCCACAGTTCTGATAATAAATAGATAAGGTATTTTGATCCATTATCCATAATCAGAAATATGAAAGATGGGTAGGAATAAAGTGAAAATTATAGAAAAATCCAGTTTCGCACTCCACACTGCCGTAAAAGAATATGAAAAGAACAAGATACCAACAAAAAATAAAGAAAATTTGAATACAATACAAAAAATGTGTAAACTATACAGAGAGGTATAATATAGTCATACTAATTTGGCTAAATCATCATTGGATCGTATTTGGATGGCTTTAGCTTCATCAGTTTTTCTAACAAAAATACAGCAGTTTTTTATCCATACATACTTGTAACCTTTTTCCTTTGCAAGTTGCCTGACCTTACTAAAGAGTATTTTGTTTTTCAAGGTGAGGTGCTCATTGACGTAGAATCGATTGTTGTTGACACTCGAGGCAGCCGCAGATCCACCGAGCAATTGATCAACTGTTAGAGAGCCACGCACACGCGCAGCAGCGATAAAATCATCACGTTTTCTGCGAGTTGTCAACTGCAGTATAATATTTTTCGGGCGACCCGCGTACCTGACACCTGGTGCAACGCGGTGTACAGTTTTTATGTCAGAGTCTTTTAATTCGACGTTTAAAATGCTGCTTAGTGTAAGAGAGAGCTGCATAAGATTTTCACCTTTACTTTCGGGCACATTTTGAATCTCAATATTGCAGTTTCTATAGGCTTGATCGAAGTCGTCGAGCCTGTTACGCAAGGTTTCAAGCTCGTGACGTAGTGACGCATTTTCTTCCATGAGGTTGGACGGCAGGGAAGAGGAGCCTATGACTGCCGCTGATTCCACTTGAGCTACCCTATCCTCCCATGTGTTCATGCGATTTTCTAGGGCAATTATATCGTTCCTGAATGTTCGCGAAACCTCCAAGATAGCAGAGTTGAGATCATCACGCCACTGTTGACTTAAGTTCGCAAATTTTGAGTCCATATATCTAGTTAAAACCTCCGTGTCCACATTCAAGGGCGAAGCCGAAGTAAGTGTAGGTGAGGTGGTCGTCGAAGGCGTAGTTTTCTTTTTAGTCTTACATGCAGAACACTTCCATTTTATTCTGTTCATAGGTAAAATTTTCTTAAAGTCTGATTCCGTCAATTCAGCACAATAGAAATGCAACCATGCTAGGCAGGAGGTACATTTTATGCCCTCCGCATCAGGTGCAATTTTTAAACACTTACGGCAATCCATTATTATAGTTTCTACTCAAAACCGTATGTAGGGATAATCTAAAGAATATGTTGTAATAAGTTGTAATAATTAGGTCCAAAATCCTTGTATCCAGCCGACAGGTCTACTAGGTATGGCAATAGTGCCGCTGTCAGATGACAAATGCCACAAATCAAATTTAACAATGACGTTGACTGACGTGTTTGGATATTTCTTTTTTTTTGTGGACAAAACAAGATGAGGGTATTTTAAATATTATTCGTAGAATGTGTCGCATAGGTTTTTCTAGTTTACTCAGTAATTTAGCATGTATCAGAAGAATTTCCAATATATGTAGTAGTTCACAGTACCTTTATAAAGTACCGGATGCACTTTTTGTTGGGATTCACTTGGTGTTTACTGGGTAATTTATTAAAACTGCACACACAATGTTACTTCTGTCACGTAATGTTAATGTTGTTACTTATCAATTAGGCGGGTGTGACTTGTATATTTGTTCATAATTACTCGTAAACTCGTGTTGTGGTCTCTGGAAGAATGACCAGCGCTGTGGAACACGTCTGCTCCACAGCAATGCTGAGCCAGGGCCAGTTACAACATACACACATTACACACTTGTACCTTATTCCTTTTTTTTCTTTCCATCATCTTTTGTTATTTTTCTTTTTTGACTATTATTATATTTTTTTGTATTTCTGTGTGTGTGTACTAACGAATAGTAATAAATGCTAAACTTATTCATATCAAGAATGTTTTGATTAAAATGACCCAAAATCGTGAACAGTTCATCTTTAATTAAAGTAGATTCATAAGTTTCCAATCATATCTTTATAATATAAGTATTAAAAATATATATTTCATAACATAAGCTATATTTCTAAAATATAAAAAAAATGTATACATTATTTAGAGTTTTAAACGATGTTATGTTTTGTAAATTGTCAAGATTTTTGACATTGACATTAAGACAATGACAGGTTTTAATATAACGTGAAAAAAAACGACTGCACATTGAAGTCGTTGACTGGATCTTCGGGGAGATTAGAGAAAATATCCGCAACGCCATCTACGAAATGTTGGACGAAATCTGGCATCCGGAATAAAACCTGGAATTTAATAATGATCCAGCGTTACACGTCAGAAGATGTTTTTTGAAGTGAAAACTTCTTTAGCGGCGTTGTACACTTTTTTGGAATGTGTTAAAAATGTAAAACTCGCTTCAGGACAAATTCGTAAGACGGATGTTTTTTAAAGGATTATGAACCTTCGTGCTATATAGTTACGGTTTTAATTCATTTGTCTCTTTCTTCAGATACATTAATGCATGTGGAATTGGACCTTAAGTCAATACATCAAGGTTTAATTTTGCGAAACGTCTAAAGCTTTATTATTAACGATTTGGTCAGACTGACGACGGATGGAGAGTAGACAGCTGGCGCGGCATTTAATTTAATATAAATTGTCATGTTTGTGTAGGATAGCGCAAAAAATAAATATTGTATTCTACCACATAAATGATAGTACTTTTATACTGATAATTAAAGCAATTAGTGCATAATTATTCCCTAACCATTCCAAAATACCAAAAATGCACAACGTTAATACTCAAGTTTTCACTTCTGCCGGCACTCCCGGAGTGCAACCCGTGGTTTTTTTTTCTATATAGATCGCCTGTCTATGGTCCATATTCTAACTCGAATCTCAAGTCACAATCTCGTCTTGAGCGCTGTCAAAAATGTCAAAATTTACGTTTTATAATAGGGGCCTGGCACATGTCGATTTTTGTTTTGCCTGTATACTGTTTTTTTTCGATTCGGATACCAGTACGGCCGAGATTTTACCTTAACCACCTTTTTTATAGAACAGAGGGTAACGGGCAGGAGAATCACCGCCGCCCATGGACACGGGTTGGGTTTTGAATCCCGTTTTTTATGATACTAACTATTTAGGAGTCTCGAGGGACCTTCATTGAAACACCTCCAAGTGATTTTTGCTGCAGGAAACGCGTCTAAGTATTTTTTTAAAAAATTTAAAGTTTTGTGCAATGTATTGAAATTTGTAAACAATCCGCCATTTTCTACTTTTCTATTGGTTATTAGAGATGTGACGTTCACTTTAAAAAATCGTGTTTTTAATTTATCGATTGTTAATAATCGTTAATAATCGGGGAGGCTTGAATTAACAATTATTATTTAGATCAGAGCTGTCCAAAAAACAAATATTATTTAGATCGGTTAGGTTAGGTTAGTATATGAATATTTATTTTTAAAATAACTGTTCAACTGAAACTGATCAACTATGATTTTCAATTATTTTTAATATTAAAATCGAATACAAAAATCGATTTTCACTTTTAAAGAAATCGATTATTTTTGACATCCCTATTAATTTTATAAACGCAAACGGCCATTTCGAATGTGGATTTTGCTAGAACAGTGTGTGAACAGTCTTACAGTGCAGAATATCCGTTAGAAATCCGTTACTTAAAAAACGATTATTAACAATCGATTAATTAAAAAACGATTTTTTAAAGTGAATGTCACATCTCTTATAACCAATAGAAAAGTAGAAAATGGCGGATTGTTTACAAATTTCAATACATTGCACAAAACTTTAAATTTTTTAAAAAAATACTTAGACGCGTTTCCTGCAGCAAAAATCACTTGGAGGTGTTTCAATGAAGGTCCCTCGAGACTCCTAAATAGTTAGTATCATAAAAAACGGGATTCAAAACCCAACCCGTGTCCATGGGCGGCGGTGATTCTCCTGCCCGTTACCCTCTGTTCTATAAAAAAGGTGGTTAAGGTAAAATCTCGGCCGTACTGGTATCCGAATCGAAAAAAAACAGTATACAGGCAAAACAAAAATCGACATGTGCCAGGCCCCTATTATAAAACGTAAATTTTGACATTTTTGACAGCGCTCAAGACGAGATTGTGACTTGAGATTCGAGTTAGAATATGGACCATAGACAGGCGATCTATATAGAAAAAAAAAACCACGGGTTGCACTCCGGGAGTGCCGGCAGAAGTGAAAACTTGAGTATTAACGTTGTGCATTTTTGGTATTTTGGAATGGTTAGGGAACAATTATGCACTAATTGCTTTAATTATCAGTATAAAAGTACTATCATTTATGTGGTAGAATACAATATTTATTTTTTGCGCTATCCTACACAAACATGACAATTTATATTAAATTAAATGCCGCGCCAGCTGTCTACTCTCCATCCGTCGTCAGTCTGACCAAATCGTTAATAATAAAGCTTTAGACGTTTCGCAAAATTAAACCTTGATGTATTGACTTAAGGTCCAATTCCACATGCATTAATGTATCTGAAGAAAGAGACAAATGAATTAAAACCGTAACTATATAGCACGAAGGTTCATAATCCTTTAAAAAACATCCGTCTTACGAATTTGTCCTGAAGCGAGTTTTACATTTTTAACACATTCCAAAAAAAGTGTACAACGCCGCTAAAGAAGTTTTCACTTCAAAAAACATCTTCTGACGTGTAACGCTGGATCATTATTAAATTCCAGGTTTTATTCCGGATGCCAGATTTCGTCCAACATTTCGTAGATGGCGTTGCGGATATTTTCTCTAATCTCCCCGAAGATCCAGTCAACGACTTCAATGTGCAGTCGTTATTTTTCACGTTATATTAAAACCTGTCATTGTCTTAATGTCAATGTCAAAAATCTTGACAATTTACAAAACATAACATCGTTTAAAACTCTAAATAATGTATACATTTTTTTTTATATTTTAGAAATATAGCTTATGTTATGAAATATATATTTTTAATACTTATATTATAAAGATATGATTGGAAACTTATGAATCTACTTTAATTAAAGATGAACTGTTCACGATTTTGGGTCATTTTAATCAAAACATTCTTGATATGAATAAGTTTAGCATTTATTACTATTCGTTAGTACACACACACAGAAATACAAAAAAATATAATAATAGTCAAAAAAGAAAAATAACAAAAGATGATGGAAAGAAAAAAAAGGAATAAGGTACAAGTGTGTAATGTGTGTATGTTGTAACTGGCCCTGGCTCAGCATTGCTGTGGAGCAGACGTGTTCCACAGCGCTGGTCATTCTTCCAGAGACCACAACACGAGTTTACGAGTAATTATGAACAAATATACAAGTCACACCCGCCTAATTGATAAGTAACAACATTAACATTACGTGACAGCAGTAACATTGTGTGTGCAGTTTTAATAAATTACCCAGTAAACACCAAGTGAATCCCAACAAAAAGTGCATCCGGTACTTTATAAAGGTACTGTGAACTACTACATATATTGGAAATTCTTCTGATACATGCTAAATTACTGAGTAAACTAGAAAAACCTATGCGACACATTCTACGAATAATATTTAAAATACCCTCATCTTGTTTTGTCCACAAAAAAAAAAGAAATATCCAAACACGTCAGTCAACGTCATTGTTAAATTTGATTTGTGGCATTTGTCATCTGACAGCGGCACTATTGCCATACCTAGTAGACCTGTCGGCTGGATACAAGGATTTTGGACCTAATTATTACAACTTATTACAACATATTCTTTAGATTATCCCTACATACGGTTTTGAGTAGAAACTATAATAATGGATTGCCGTAAGTGTTTAAAAATTGCACCTGATGCGGAGGGCATAAAATGTACCTCCTGCCTAGCATGGTTGCATTTCTATTGTGCTGAATTGACGGAATCAGACTTTAAGAAAATTTTACCTATGAACAGAATAAAATGGAAGTGTTCTGCATGTAAGACTAAAAAGAAAACTACGCCTTCGACGACCACCTCACCTACACTTACTTCGGCTTCGCCCTTGAATGTGGACACGGAGGTTTTAACTAGATATATGGACTCAAAATTTGCGAACTTAAGTCAACAGTGGCGTGATGATCTCAACTCTGCTATCTTGGAGGTTTCGCGAACATTCAGGAACGATATAATTGCCCTAGAAAATCGCATGAACACATGGGAGGATAGGGTAGCTCAAGTGGAATCAGCGGCAGTCATAGGCTCCTCTTCCCTGCCGTCCAACCTCATGGAAGAAAATGCGTCACTACGTCACGAGCTTGAAACCTTGCGTAACAGGCTCGACGACTTCGATCAAGCCTATAGAAACTGCAATATTGAGATTCAAAATGTGCCCGAAAGTAAAGGTGAAAATCTTATGCAGCTCTCTCTTACACTAAGCAGCATTTTAAACGTCGAATTAAAAGACTCTGACATAAAAACTGTACACCGCGTTGCACCAGGTGTCAGGTACGCGGGTCGCCCGAAAAATATTATACTGCAGTTGACAACTCGCAGAAAACGTGATGATTTTATCGCTGCTGCGCGTGTGCGTGGCTCTCTAACAGTTGATCAATTGCTCGGTGGATCTGCGGCTGCCTCGAGTGTCAACAACAATCGATTCTACGTCAATGAGCACCTCACCTTGAAAAACAAAATACTCTTTAGTAAGGTCAGGCAACTTGCAAAGGAAAAAGGTTACAAGTATGTATGGATAAAAAACTGCTGTATTTTTGTTAGAAAAACTGATGAAGCTAAAGCCATCCAAATACGATCCAATGATGATTTAGCCAAATTAGTATGACTATATTATACCTCTCTGTATAGTTTACACATTTTTTGTATTGTATTCAAATTTTCTTTATTTTTTGTTGGTATCTTGTTCTTTTCATATTCTTTTACGGCAGTGTGGAGTGCGAAACTGGATTTTTCTATAATTTTCACTTTATTCCTACCCATCTTTCATATTTCTGATTATGGATAATGGATCAAAATACCTTATCTATTTATTATCAGAACTGTGGAGGCATAAAGAGTAAAATAGATAAGCTCAAAAATAGTATACTTCTTAGCAACTATGATATTATTGTTCTGGTAGAGACGTGGTTAGTGGATTCTATCTTTGATGGAGAGTTGCACTCTGGCGGTTATGATTTATTTCGACGGGACAGAAACCTCCAGTTCTCTCGTAAAAAAGGAGGCGGTGGGGTCTTAGTCATGGTGAAAAGAGGAATTAAATCTATCAGATTGACTGAGTTTGAAGCCCCGGATTTGGAGGAAATATACATTCACTTGCCATCTCATGCTGGTCTCCTCCTCAATGCCTGTTACTTTCCTCCCGTTACTCATACCTCTACATACATAAAATTCTTTCAAAAACTGCATGACATACATGCTAGCGCTAGATTCTCTAATTACATAATTACAGGTGACTTTAATTTACCTCATCTCAACTGGTTATCCTCTCCAGATACCCTACTACAATCTGCAAATACTGAGTCATCTAAATTATTGTTGCATACCATGTCTTTCATGAATTTAAAGCAAACTAATGTTGTCCTCAATAGCAATGCGCGGCTCCTAGACCTAGTCCTATCGACGCTTCCCGGGCGTGTTGATTATTCCGATGACCCGTTGCTTAATCCTGTTCCTCATCACCCGCCTTTAGATATTCTTAGTACTGTTAACAGGTCAATTGTCATGACATTAGCTGTTTTCCATCAAAGAAATTTCTTTAATGCACATTATGACTTAATAAATAATGCTATCTATAAGGTAGATTGGGTGTCACTGCTGGCCTCGTCCCATTCTGAAGATGCTGTTGCTGTTGGATGCTGTTGGATCTTCGGGGAGATTAGAGAAAATATCCGCAACGCCATCTACGAAATGTTGGACGAAATCTGGCATCCGGAATAAAACCTGGAATTTAATAATGATCCAGCGTTACACGTCAGAAGATGTTTTTTGAAGTGAAAACTTCTTTAGCGGCGTTGTACACTTTTTTTGGAATGTGTTAAAAATGTAAAACTCGCTTCAGGACAAATTCGTAAGACGGATGTTTTTTAAAGGATTATGAACCTTCGTGCTATATAGTTACGGTTTTAATTCATTTGTCTCTTTCTTCAGATACATTAATGCATGTGGAATTGGACCTTAAGTCAATACATCAAGGTTTAATTTTGCGAAACGTCTAAAGCTTTATTATTAACGATTTGGTCAGACTGACGACGGATGGAGAGTAGACAGCTGGCGCGGCATTTAATTTAATATAAATTGTCATGTTTGTGTAGGATAGCGCAAAAAATAAATATTGTATTCTACCACATAAATGATAGTACTTTTATACTGATAATTAAAGCAATTAGTGCATAATTATTCCCTAACCATTCCAAAATACCAAAAATGCACAACGTTAATACTCAAGTTTTCACTTCTGCCGGCACTCCCGGAGTGCAACCCGTGGTTTTTTTTTCTATATAGATCGCCTGTCTATGGTCCATATTCTAACTCGAATCTCAAGTCACAATCTCGTCTTGAGCGCTGTCAAAAATGTCAAAATTTACGTTTTATAATAGGGGCCTGGCACATGTCGATTTTTGTTTTGCCTGTATACTGTTTTTTTTCGATTCGGATACCAGTACGGCCGAGATTTTACCTTAACCACCTTTTTTATAGAACAGAGGGTAACGGGCAGGAGAATCACCGCCGCCCATGGACACGGGTTGGGTTTTGAATCCCGTTTTTTATGATACTAACTATTTAGGAGTCTCGAGGGACCTTCATTGGAACACCTCCAAGTGATTTTTGCTGCAGGAAACGCGTCTAAGTATTTTTAATAAAAATTTTAAGTTTTGTGAAATGTATTGAAATTTGTAAACAATCCGCCATTTTCTACTTTTCTATTGGTTATTAGAGATGTGACGTTCACTTTAAAAAATCGTGTTTTTAATTTATCGATTGTTAATAATCGTTAATAATCGGGGAGGCTTGAATTAACAATTATTATTTAGATCAGAGCTGTCCAAAAAACAAATATTATTTAGATCGGTTAGGTTAGGTTAGTATATGAATATTTATTTTTAAAATAACTGTTCAACTGAAACTGATCAACTATGATTTTCAATTATTTTTAATATTAAAATCGAATACAAAAATCGATTTTCACTTTTAAAGAAATCGATTATTTTTGACATCCCTATTAATTTTATAAACGCAAACGGCCATTTCGAATGTGGATTTTGCTAGAACAGTGTGTGAACAGTCTTACAGTGCAGAATATCCGTTAGAAATCCGTTACTTAAAAAACGATTATTAACAATCGATTAATTAAAAAACGATTTTTTAAAGTGAATGTCACATCTCTTATAACCAATAGAAAAGTAGAAAATGGCGGATTGTTTACAAATTTCAATACATTGCACAAAACTTTAAATTTTTTAAAAAAATACTTAGACGCGTTTCCTGCAGCAAAAATCACTTGGAGGTGTTTCAATGAAGGTCCCCCCAAGACTCCTAAATAGTTAGTATCATAAAAAAAGTGCGACGGTATTCAAAACTATTACCCATGGACACTCTGAACGCCAAAGTGCTCGCAAATGCGTTGCCGGCCCTTTAAGAATTTGTTTATTTTCCCGAAGGATCCTAAGACGCCTTAATGTAAAAGCACGATTTTATAAGAAGTTTTTTGAGTACACTTAGATATTTTAAATATCTTAAATTTTGTTTTAAAAAAAATACATAAATTGTTACGTACGGTAACGTTTCTAAGCCGAAGCAAAAGCTCATCGTTCAAATCATTCGTTCACTCACCTGCATCACACAGTTGATATTACACGAATTTCCCAGGTTATTCAATCCAGTTAGAGCTGGCCCGTTCAAAGGTTGCAGTTCACTCCCACTCTCTTGAAGCGTATTCCATTCACCGGTTTTCTGGTTCAATTCTAATTCCAATTCCATTGAGTTCTCAGTCTGAACAGAGAACGTACATACATATTTATATAGTGACAAGTACATTATGCTAATGTGAACCATTTTTGAGTTTAAGGAAAAAAACTCTTTAAACGGATTAAAGTTATTATAGAATTAGCCGGATCCTAAAACGAGCTTCTATTCATACAATTTTCAAGCCGCACAAGAAGATTCAGCAATTCCTAAGACCAATCAAAAGTAACACCCCATTGCAAGAGACTGTAGCCTGTCTTCCATAGGGCAAACTAAACGCAATATGTCCAGCAGACTCGAAGAACACATTGCGGACATAAGACATAGACGACACACAAAATCAGCAGTCTGTGAACACATACTAGATAGGCCTAATCACTACATACACTTTGACCAACCGAAAGTACTTGCGAAAGAGAAAAGATTGGTACGCGAAGCCATTGAAATCAAAAAACACCCCAATTTCAATAGAGAAGACGGCCTAAAATTGTCAAACACCTGGGATCCAATAATATCTAAATTAAAATCTCAAAAAGAAAAACAATCCGCGAAAACAGAGGACACCGTGAGCCATTTTTGCCAAAACCCTCCATCTTTTAGTCGATACCAACTCCGGGGAAGTAAATACAGATAATGCAATATTCTCTACAGCTGTGATACTTTTTGACACCCAACACCTTTTGTCTTCAGTCACCGTGACCACGCACGCTGTAAAGCACGCGAAACGTCGGATAAATTTAAAATTATGTTAAATAATTGTAAATTTATAATAATACATAACTTTAATCCGGTTAAAAGTTTTTTCTTTAAATGTGTAAAGGTTATGTTAATCAAAGACAATACTACATTTTTGAGTTGTTTAGTAATTCTTTTTTTTTTTTCAAAAAAGTATCAATTTAAATCTCATTTTTCACAATTATTTTTTATCACAAACAGTCACCTAACGGGAATATGTTAAATTACCTATAACCCTGTATATATATATATATATTTTATACCTATAGCGGACTCTACCAAGGTGGTTGAGGGAAATTTTTTGTATCAAATATCAAAACCAACCCTCAACTACCCAACCCATGTCCAACTCAAATACTTTTTAGAACCAATAAACAAATTGTACTGAAAAACTTATTTAAGCTTAGCTTCCTCGGCCCCGGGGCGTAAGTCGCCGGGGAGGTAGGCCTACTAGAAATAAAAAAATCAAAATATATATTGTTCGAAATACATTATATGTATTAATTTTATAAAAATTGATGAGGGTGATGCAAAATATTTACGCACGGCCGATCGACACATTTTTTTTTGTTAGTCATTGTTGAGCTTCATTCGGGTTACGTGTTCTCGTGCATCTAGCATTTTTTATTTGGATAGTACACATGTACTTTTTGTTAATTATAGATACGTCCACTATTTAAAATTGTATAGTGAGTGTTTAGTGCGTGTTTAAGAACTATTGTGAGGCAAGGTATCAATTATCATCAGTCTAACCTCTCTTTGTGCCCATACTAAAACTAATTCCAATTCCTTACGGCTGATAACATTGTGTGCCTATCTTTCTGTAAGGAGACATTGACGAGGTATGTACTCAGGACTTATTATTTTAATATGAATTGTGTATCGACGACCACCGAACCGTTCTTTGTGGTACATATATATTAGGTCCCTACATATGAAATTGGCGTATTTCGTACTGGCCACTTTAATCACGATGTTCTCCTCTTGGATGACCGTCATTCATTTGTTTTTTTTTTCTGTTTTTTTCTGTTTGCGTCACTCATTTAACAAAATAATAATAATAATAATAATTTATTTATTGCAAGAATATGGTACAAATGCTAAGGTGATACAATCATAAATCGTTCGCATATTCTGCCACACACTAATATTGTTGTATTAATAAAGAGTTCAACACCATCTTTACCCCAAAGAAAGTCTCTCATTCGCAGTGTAAATCGTTTAGTGATTGGGCGACAGCGGGAATTTATAAAAGTAGACAACGGTTGTATGACCTTTACGCTGAAAAGTCATACAATCATAATGAAGAATTTATTCTTTATGTTCGAAATTATTCGAAATTATTTAAGAAAGTTTGTTACGCGGCCAAGTCCTTAAATTTCAAAAACAAGATTAAAAATAGTACCAATAAAACTAAAATGACTTGGAAGATAATTGATAGTGAAACTGGAAGAGTCAGGGATCGCAATCAAGACATCGAACTATGTGTCGATAACACTATAATCAAATCTAACGAAGAGATAGCGATTGTTTTTGATAAGTACTTTTCTGACATTCCAATTTCGACTACTAAGTCTCTTCAATCATCTCCCGCCCTCGCCGAATCGCTGCTCAAAGATAATGTAAACGAGTGCAAGGTCAGTTTTTCATTCCGACCCATTGGTGCCGACGATATAGTGAGGATATTTAGAACCATAGATATTAAGAACACTACCGATCTTTGGGGTATTTCTGTAAAAATAATTAGTAGCATAATTGATGTAATTGCTCCCCATCTAGCTATAATTTTCAACAATTGTATTAAAAGTGGCGAGTTTCCCGATCTAATGAAACATAGTAAAGTTATTCCTTTATTTAAAGCAGGTAGTATGTCCGACCCCAGTAACTTTAGACCAATTTCCGTACTACCTACTTGTAGTAAAATATTTGAAAAAATTATATTAAATCAACTGGTAAGTCATTTTAACGTAAACAAATTATTACATAATAATCAGTTCGGTTTTACCAAGGGTCGCTCGACAGCCGATGCCGGTGTTGAGTTATATAGATATATAGTTAAGGCTTGGGAGGAGTCGCATGACGCTTTAGGTGTTTTCTGCGACTTATCCAAAGCATTTGATTGTGTCCAACACGAGACCTTAATCGGGAAACTCCGCCACTATGGCATCAAGAATACCGCACTGAATCTTCTGACTTCCTATTTACACGGAAGAACTCAGAAGGTTGAAGTGAATGGTAAGAGGTCCTCTGGGTCGGCAGTAGATATGGGGGTACCACAGGGCTCAATTCTTGGCCCTTTCCTCTTTCTTGTTTATATAAATGATCTACCTTTCATGGTAGAGAGAAAACATCAGATAGTTTTGTTTGCTGATGACACGTCCTTGATTTTTTAAAATCAAACGACAAATAACAAATTTTGACGATGTGAACAATGCTCTGTCTTCGATTGTCCATTGGTTTAGTATGAATAACCTTCTACTTAATGCAAAAAAGACAAAATGCATTAAATTTTGTGCAAAAAATGCAAGGGTTATGGATACTAGACCAATTATAAACGGTGAGGAATTGAATCTGGATGATACAACTGTATTTCTCGGAATCACCATGGATTCAAAACTTCAGTGGTCCCCTCATATTAACGGATTGGCGAAGAGACTTAGTTCTGCAGCCTACGCGGTTAAAAAAATTCGCTCACTAACTGATGTCGATACAGCTAGACTTGTTTATTTTAGTTACTTTCATAGCTTAATGACTTATGGCTTATTATTATGGGGTCATGCTGCTGATGTCGAAACTATTTTCATCCTGCAGAAGAGGGCTATTCGTGCAATCTATAATTTAAAATGTAGGGAATCTCTTAGAGATAAATTCAAGGAAATTAATATACTTACCTTTCCCTCGCAATATATTTATGAAAATATTATGTATGTATACAAAAATAGTGATAAGTTTACTAGAATAGAACATACGCACAATGTTAATACACGGAACAAACGCAGGCTGCAATTTCCCCGTACTAGACTATCTAAAGTTAGTAATTCTTTTTTGGGGAAAGGGATACTCTTCTTTAATAAAATCCCAGAGGCTCTTTTATCACTGCCTTTCAATAAATTTAAGAAATGTATTAAAGAAAAGCTGTGTAAAAAGGCTTACTATAAAGTCAACGATTATCTAGTTGATAAAAGGGCCTGGGACTAGTGCTAGACAGGCTACTTCTAATTAATTTGCGATATTTGTTTTAAATAAGTGTTGTTTGATGATTTGCTGTTTTAAAAGAGTACCGAGAGTTTTTTACGCCGGCTTTTTCTCTCGGCCTACACCCTCTGTCTTCTTTGCCGATGAGTAGGGATGCCTTCAAATTTAATGACGTGGAATAAGTGATACATGTATCTTATGTTCCATAATAAACATATTTTATTTTTTATTTTATTTTATTTTACACGATGGCGCGCAAATTCGTCCCAAAGAATTTTACAATATTATTCAAAGCCAATTCCTATATTATCCAGCCTATTATATTATATACATTTTATCATTAACTTTATATCATTTACGGTGTTTCATGCAAATAATCATTTATTGAATAGTAAACTTTATCCAAAAGCAATTCACTAAGTCGCTTTTTAAAGAATCTAGACGGAAGATCTTTTAATTCTTTTGGTAATTTATTGTAGACTTTAATTGCCATATAAAAGCTGTTTTTCCGAAACAGTTCCAGATTGATTTTTGGCACAGCCAAATTCTTCCCATGTCTACTTCTTACTTCAACTTCTACATTCGACTTAAAAATATGTATGTTTCTGTGCACGAATAAGGATATCTCTAAAATATAAATACATGGAAGAGATAAAATTTTGAGCTTCTTAAATAAAGGTACGCAACTATCAAGACAGTTTGCTCCACAAATTGCTCTAATACATATCTTTTGAGCCTTAAATACCCTATTTACTTCGACTGAATTTCCCCAAATTATAATTCCATATCTAAGTATAGATGAAACATATGCATGATAAGCAGCTAATACCGTAGCATGGTTAACAGTTTCCCTTAGTCGTTTTAACACAAAAACAAAACTGTCTATTTTGTTCTGTAATTTTTCAATATGTGACTTCCAACTACAAAATTTATCTATCGTTATACCTAAATAATACACACTCGTTCATTATGTCTAGTTTATTGCTTTTATATTGTAAGTCTAATTGTGTTTTAGAGTTATATGTCTGAAAATGGATTATGTTAGTTTTGGTCATGTTTATTTGTAGATTATTGGAATTCATCCAGTTAATGGCGTCGTCTAGAGATTTAATTAAATTGTTTTTTAAGTCTTGTTAGTTTTT